GTCCCAAAAAAGCAATGTGAAGAGTTTATACTAGTGCCTGAGTTAATAAGCAATTCATCCTCCGTTGGTGATGACAATAGAAACCTGTAGGTGGCATTCCCAATAGTACAGTTAGGATTCATTCTGGTAAGTATTTATTGGTGACTTAATCTAGAGGACTGCATGCATTCTCTTTTATATTTCAAACTTTCACACCTACTTTTGATGAGCTGGTATGATTTGCCAGGTAGTTTTTAAATTGGCGTTCTGTTTGGGTGATTTTACAACCTGATCACGTTTCATAGTCTTGGCACCCCATTTCAGGCGGTGTTTTGGTCTCTTCTAATTGAGTCACCTTAAAAGTGTAGAGGCAAACCAAGCCTTTTTCTGACAGCTGCTTTTCCTTTCCTTGGGGCCAAAATCAAAAGCTGCCACGTTCAGGAAGTGGAATGCAGCGGTCTAAAACTTGTCTGAAAATTGAGCCTGAGGCTGGGTGCTCTTGTGTTTTACTTATATTCAGGAAGACATTTGGAGGTTGTTTCATCTACTTTTCCCCCTTATTATTTTTTCCTTTTGTTTCTTTTGCTGTTGATTTAACCTTACAACTGCCATACAATAAACACCAGTTTACTCTGCAGTATGTACGAAATGGTATGTAATGGCCATATATCTGCCATGCAAACAACATTTATTAACTTCCGTCACATCTTCCGGTCTTTAATACCAAACGTTAAGCATCTGCTATAAATAATCTTAGCCTTGTGCACCATGTTAGACTCTGGTTTCAACAAAGTGGTTAAAGATAATATGAGCTGTTTATTACTCTCTATATATGCTGAGGGGATCCGATACAGCTTTCACTTTCTACTGCTGCGTCTACAAGGATTTAGCAGTTTAAAGATTAGCCACAGCTGTACATGGATGTCAGTGTATTACAGGGAACTTTCACTATACAAGACAGTCATAACAGTGATGAGGCACTGCTGACCCCTCTATTATCTATGTAAATCTTATTATGAACCTAAAAAAAAAACCCCAAAGCCTCACATCCCAACCTTCATAGAAGCACAGGGTTGTTGAAGCTGGAACAGGCCTCTGGAAATTGTCTAGCCCAAACCCCTTTGCTCAGAGCAGAGTCGGCTAGAGCAGCTTGTTCAAGGGTGTATCTAGTCGTGTTGTAAGTATCTGCAAGGATGGAAACTCTGCAACCTGTCTGGGCAACCTGTTCCAGTGTTTGACTGAAGTCACAATAAAAAAACCCTTTTCTTACACATAAATGGAATTGCCGGTGTAATTTGAGGCTGCTCCCTGGCTTCTCTGAGGAACTTTGTCTCTCTCTTCCTGGCTTTAGTGATTTACCTTACTCTGTAACCTCCTGATGATAAGGCAAGAATCAGATTCACTTATCTCTTCCTTCCACAGAGGCTGGGGATGGGATTTCTGAGATTTATGCTTCCTACCTGTGCTCTGACTATTTTTAATATAGAAATAGAGGCTTCTTTCATATGAGTTACTCTAGTAGTGCTTGCTTCTTTTGGCACTGTATCCTTTCTAGACAGCACAATAAAATTGAAATTGTTCTTGTCAGTGATGAAGCTTCTGAGGGAATTCTTACCCCTGAGATCATTCTGCTCCTTAGATGGTTTGCTGCTTTGTATAGGTGCAAACAAACCTAAAACTACAGCAATATTAGCATCCATTGACTCAGAATAGAATTATTGCATCAGGTGACATTTGGAAGATTGTTGGAATAGGTGTCTAAAAATGAATAGTTAGGTTCACAAAGGTTCACAGTTACCTCCTCTGTGCAAGCTCTAAAGATGTAATTACTCTTTACTGCACAGTGTATTTTTCAGTTCTTCTTCTTAAGTTCTCATTTTTCAGCATTTATCATTTGCTCATTTTTTTTTGTATTCCAAGTCTTTCTGGTAGGAAAAACATAAATGGCAGTTGTCCAAACTGCTTTGTACTATTTCTTTTCGGCTGTTAGCTATCCCAGCCAGCCTCTTTCCCCTTTTGTAACTTTTGCTAGTTGACCGAATCATTTTTCTGTCCCTCTTTTTTTTTTCCTTTTCCTGTTATTTCTATTTGTTAACACTTTCTCATATTAAATGAAACCACAATCTCCCCCAAACATTTATTTCTTTAAAAAGTAAACATAAAGTATGAAATTTCAAGGAGAAAAAAAAACATATGGTTTTAAGATACGGATAATTAACCCAAATATTTTTGGCCAGAGTTCCAGAACAGTGAATAATTTCCATGAATCACCAGTCTAGTACTCCAGTGATGCGATTGCAAGACATATTGGAGAAACCACAATGAGAGCCAGACTCTGCCTCGTTAAAGCTAGTGGGAAATTTCCTCAATGTATTTCACCGGGAGTGAAATAAAATCCTTCAGTTGTTACTCCCCCATTCCTTCCTGGAAAAAAAAAAAAAAAACCAAAACACCTGAACGATGAAGTTGCTGCGAGGCTGAAATGTCTTTCACCAAGGGCACGTTTACATTGTAATTTCACATCCTGTTTAATTCTGTCATTAAGTTTCTTTAATCTGGATGCATCTTGTGGTCAAGTGAAACTCACCTGGCTAAAGTGATCAAAAATGTTTCCTTCTGCAAACTTCATAGCCAGTGTGCCACTTTCCATCTTAGTAAATCAGTTGGCAACCTGCAGCACACTCAGCTATACTCGTCTTGAAATCTTTATTTTCCTCAACTTCCCACGATCCTCTCTTCTGCTTATATTCCTCTTAATTCTTCTGTAATGCTCTCTGCTGTTGTCCCAAAAGTTGGTAGTAGTTAGGTTGCTGATTTAATACTTCTGTTTGTCTTTCTTTTTCTATGCACCGTATCTTTTCTTTTACTTAGACAATACATTCTTTGGCCCAGGAAAGAACAAAACCGCTCCTTCTTGTTCTCTCATTCTGTAGCACTTAACAGAGCGCTGTATTGACCTGTGGTTAGAGCTCCTCTGGGGTAGCAGCAATCATTGTTTTGTAACTCCTAATTAAAGTGTAATGCATGAAAAACAGATTTGAGGCCTAGGAGTATTTTGGACACTTATGGTAAAAGATTAAAGATAGCACAACCTACTATAGAGCGGCAAAAGACATTTAAGGAATCTTGGTTCCGTTGGTCATGTGGAAAAAAATTGTTTCTGTTCTTACAAAACTTGACTTTTTCCTAAATCAAGTGACAGACTCCATTGTCATCTTTAAAATACTCATTTTTTGGCCAGAGCTCCCTTGCATAAATCAGTTGCCAAGGGAAGGTCTTCCTGTTGAGTCTGAGTCATCTTCTCACTCACAAAAAAATATGTAGTAATTCTATAAGCAGCAGGACTGTTAAAGTCTGACTCGCTGTGGCTGTATGTGGGTAAATTATCTTAACTAATGTTTGAAGATGCGCTACAGCAGGGACACAAATTTGGGGCTCTCTTTCTAATGCTGTTAATAACTGAGAGCTTTGAGACCTCCACTCTCAAATTTAGTTGAAGCTGCTCTAAAAATATTGTGTGATTTAAAAACGTTGACATGGAGAGAGGGGAAGAATAGGGACCATAACATAAAAAGGATGATCTTAGGAGCCCCATTTTCTTAGGAAAATCGGTTGAAAATCCTCCTATCTTAAACTATTTTTATTTCCTACCGTCTGTAAAAATACTGGTTTTTCTGGTTCTGCATTGATATGGTGTTTTGCTCTTGTGGAGTTGTGTTACCCTGCATCATTCTAGAGTAGTCTGCCTGATCTTTGTTTCTTTGTATATGCCAATCGTTTACTTGTATTTGTGGAGTCTAGTAGTAGATATCAAAGTCAACAAAGCTTCAGGTCAAATGAAGCCTGTTGATCTTTTAGTAAACTACTGTAACAGTTATCGTAACATGAAATTGAAGAAGATCAAGGTAAAGGGGCTTCTGATGGAGGCAATGTCAAATTACTTGAGACGGTCAATGCCGCATTGTTTAATTTTCTAACATAATGAGAATTTGAAAGTTGAAATAAATGCACATTAAATCACACTAACCATTAAAAAAATTATATTTGCATGACTTACAGAAAGCAAAACAAACAAACCACATTTAGTGTTAATGCTGATCAAATAATTATATTTTAGTGGTTACCAGACATCAGAATAATCTGTCTTTCAGGAAATACCTGCAGCGTACACCACATGCAAAATGGAATTAAAAACAGATTTTGACATATTGAGTGCTGGCATTTTTATTTAATTTTTCTAACTTAATTTAATTTTAATATGACATATATTTATAGTATACTACTGTAGGTTTATTTTTAAATTAGACTAATTTAAACTATTTTAGACTAATTACCTGAATTTCAATAATGTCTCCTTTTCTTGATTTTATAGTATTTTACAAAAAAATGTCCAGTTGTTACATAGATAGTAGCTCTTTAGTTATATTTAACATAATTTCTATGTTTGCTTTAGAGCAAATTCAGTAAGTGAGGTTTTAAATTAGCATACTCTCAAACTGTACTTACCAATACTGGTTTGTCATCTTTTTAT